TAGATGGGGAGGCTGTGTGGGTGCCTGGCTGGGAGATGTGCCAGCCAGAGTGTATGTAGCCTTCTGTCCGCGTGTCTCTGTTTTCCCTGAAGCGTGTGCTGTTCTGAGGAAAACCAGACCTGTAAATAAAAAGAACAAACATCAGGCAGCAAGTTTTTTTCCTAGTGATGCAGTGGGACCAGTATGTTAAGATATTTTGCACTAACATTACAAAGGCGTTCGAAGTAATAGTACTGTAAAACAGGCCTGTTGCAATACAGGACTACAGTGTTTGAACAACAGAAAAGCTCTGTTACAACAGGTTTAGGAACTAAAGTGGAAGTCTAACTTGTCTTATTTATAAAACAAATTAATCAAATGGCTTCAGCTCATCCCAAAGTCCCATCTGTAGTATAATGGAAAGTGCTAGTGCAGTTTCACACTATGAACACAAGAGGGCACTCATATATTTCTTATCTGGAGACTGCAGGTAGCGGTGCATTATAAACTACAATTGTATACGGGTTGGTAGCTGCGTCAGCATGCACAGTCTGCAAAGGAACAAGTGTTTATTCCATGCTGAAAAGAGAAGAGAGAAAATGCAATGTTACACTTGAAAAAGGCTTCACAGCTGAAACATTGTGTTTTCTCTCTTCTCTTTTCAGCATGGAACAAACCTATCACTTGTTCCTTTGTATAATTGTATACTATGTGTATAATTGTGCAGTTTATCAGTACTGTACATTACCTGACCAATTCCTGCCCAGCAGCTTACTGACCTGTCTTTACTGTTGATTAATGTTACTAAACAGTCACTTATTTTTTATTGCCACTGACCGGCCTGTTGTGGCTGTAGAGTAGTATTGTCGAATCAGCAGGTTTAAAGGCCAGCTGGCCTTGTGACAGAACAGGGATAAGATGATGTCTTTCCATGTTCAGGACATCAGTGTTCACAGAAACAGGACGGACCAGTGTACAGACACTCGCGACCAAAAGACAAATACACTTTTCTGTTCATCCCGCATTAACCTGCTGTTTGCTGATTCTGGAGTGTTTGTCTTTCTCGTTGCAGTGTCTCTACGCTTTAGTGAAAAGATGTCCTGCCATATGGAGGCAGCACCCTGGCCACGTCAGGGTTAGGGTTAGTAAGGCAGGGTTAATCCTACCCCTAACCCAGAGACCCGGGCAGCAGCTCAGTGTGAGCTGGGCTAGACCAAAGACTGACGGACCCTGCAGCTCTGGGCTCTGCAGTCGTGGTGCTGGACAGCCACGGTCTGGTGTTGGAGATCTCGGAGGATCAGCCAAAAGTACGTTCTGATTGGCTGTAGTTTAGGCAGAAAGAAGCAAGCTGATTATAGCTGAGCTGGGGAGAACCTGCAGCCTGACCGGCTGGCTGGGTCTGGGGATTGTGCTATGGACTAGTGGCGTTGCTGTCGTTGTTTTCACCAGCGTGAGGGACTGCAGTCAGGTGCTGAGCTCCGCTGCTGGCCCCCGGGCTGTGTTAACAGGCGGCGTGTTTACAGTGCAGCCGTGGAAAACAACAGCTGTCCCAGTTCTGAAATCTCCCTGCAGCACTTAGTTCATTAAACATTGAAACCGACAGAGACGGCCTTTCTCTTGTCTCTGCTCTCCTCTCTCCCCCTCCACCCCTCCCCTCCGCTCTCCTCTCTGTCCCCTGCCTGTGCCTCTGCCTTGCCTGCTCCAGTCCTGCTCCCTCTGGGATCTGGTGGCTGCAGGGAGGTCTTGTCTAGGACTGCTGGTTGATTTGCAACACTCGTGCTCTGCAGGTCCAGATGGGTCTGTGGCACAGGACCCAGGATATGGGTCAGGCCAGGGAGCACAGGAGAGTGTGAAAGACGGGGGGAGAGAGAGGGAGAGCACAGTGCACGGACGGTATTTTGAGAAAAGCGAAGTGTGGGAGAGCGCAGAGAAAGCAGGACAAAGTTGCTGTGATACTGCTAAGAGTAGTCAATCAAATTCCTAGCATTCCTGAAGCTCGCTGTCACAGTGGAGGGAGAGTCGGAGCAGGACACTGTGACAGGACAGGAGCAGCGACAGGATAAAAGCTTTCGGTAAAAGTCTGTGCTTGAAGGCCACACTGGACTCGCCATGCACCTCGCACACACACTCACACCTCCCAGGAGCTCAAGGCCAGTCTGCCGCCCAGCCAGCCAATCACCCGTATCATGGCAACACTGGAACTTGGCAGTGTCACCAGAACAGTTGCTGGGCAAAAAGTCTCTCACCATGGAAACCCACTTGGAAGGGAAGGGTAAGGGAGATAAGAGGGTGAGGGTTTGGGGAGAGAGCGTTTTCATCACCCTTCCGTTCGTTTTCAGCGACCAGCTTTAGAGGGTTGCAGAGAACCAGATCCTCACCCAGAGGGCACAGGGCGCAAGGTGGGAACACACACAAGTGGGTGGGGGGAGGATTACAGACCCAGACCACCTGTCATGAACTGGGAGGAATGTCATCACAGAGGGAACGTGCAAACTCCACACAGACAGAGCCAGAACCCAGGACTCTGGGGCCACAGCAGAGTCCTTTCTTCATGTATATTACCCAGACCTCTGCTGCACAACATCCCAATTCTGCCCTTTCATAATACCTGGTTGTGGAGTCTCTAGACCAGCTCCTGTTACTGAATGAGACCAGACTTATGAAGTCCCAATTAATATGATTTTAGCCCCTGATAAATGAGGCACATAAACCTGCAGGGACTGGGGATCCTGCAGTCCAGGAAGGTCTAGCTTCACCCCTATGACTCCTGCAGGGCCTGACGCAGATGCTGAAATAGATGGGAGATGTTAATAGCTATAGGTCTGGGGGGGATTTGTCAGCCTCATCCGAAGCCCCACAGCAAGGAGAGAGTCCTCCCATTGTCAACAGTGCAGCTCCTGTGAGGCCTCCAGGCTGGGTGGATTCTGCTGCCTCTCTCTCTGTCTCTCAGCTTCCTGGTCCTCTCTATCTCCCCATCTGTGGCTTACCCTCTCTTCATGTTTTTCTTTCTCCTCCTTTCTCTCTCTCTCTGTCCTCTGTTACTCTCTAGCAGTTAATTCTTATCTTCTCTCCCCCCCCCTGTGTCTGTTTCCAAGCCTCCTTTGTGGTCGTTTTCTCCAGTTCTGGAAATCTCTTCCTCGTCTGTCTGTGACTGTGGACGCTCTGGTCAGGTGTAGCTGGTCACGCAGACTTGAGTACTGCAGCCACATCTTCCGAAAACAGCTCTCGAGTGACACTGACTTCTTAGAAGTGAATACAGGAAGTCAATTGGGGAAGCATTTCACTGTTGCACAACAGTGGTTAACCACTCAGCCAAAGCCGCTAATCCTGCAATATGGACCAGCAGGGGTGCGGCCGCGGGAGACTTAAAACATTTTCTGTAGGAGCACTGAACATAATTAACTTTGGAAAATGCTTTAATCATTTTAAAAGGTCAATCTGATTAACCCGACCTGTGTATTCAGCTTTCTCCATTTTCAGTGATCAGAGCCAATGAATGTGGTTCAAAGCCAGTAACTAAGCACTTGGCTTGGACTAGAGCTCACAGACCCAGTGTTACCCCAGAACTGATTTAAAGCACAATTCTGATTCAAGGCATCTGAGTACAGGGTTCAAATTTAGAGAGGGGGGGTGCCCATGTCACTGGTTATGCCCCTCTGAACCAGCTCTAAGGCCTGCAGGCTTCCTTTCCTGAAAAGAGTCAGTCGGGTCAGCTGGCACCTCATCATTGTTAGCTAATCATACTGCAGATGAAGGCCTGAAAACGTAGAAATGTGCAATGAGGGCACTGTCACCACCAATGAAAGGCAGAACAGGCGCTACAGGAAAAAAAACAACCTTTAATCGTGTTTAAATAAATCTTACATGAATCATCGTTTACTCTCTCGAGGAAAGCCGTGTGCATTTAAACAGCATTTTAATCGTAAGCATCCCCAGAGCAGTACATGAAGCATTTGCTGACCTGGCTTCATCAGAGATCAGATACAGAAGGAGAAGATGTTGTGGATCGAATGACCCTTGAAACACATTTCACCCCTCCCCCCTTTCCCTCCCCTCCCCCCAGATCAAGAACAGACACACAACACAAATGCCTTCTTGTTTACAGACAGGGCTGGGTTTCGGAGGATCCTGGCTCCTGAGCCTCTGCAGAGAGGCCGTGCGCTTACAGAACACAGCCAGGAAACCCCCGCTTCAGCACAGCCTGGGGTCAGTGTCCAGTCTCTCCTGCCGCAGGGCTGTCGGACTGTCCGCTCAGCGCCGACCCCCGACGCCCCCGACCTGCAGCTGCTGGTCTGAAAGCAGTCCCTCTCTGAGCTGAGCACGATCCCAGACAGCTTCAGCCCTCAGATCACAACAGGGCTGACCTCCCAGCGGCTCTGGGGCTGGTCAGCCACTCAATTCAATTTCAATTCAAGTCAAGGTGCTTTATTCGCATGACCGATGGGTACAATCAGTGTTGCCAAAGCAAATAAAAATAATAAAATTAACATGAAACAAAACAAAAATCAAATAAAATCTACAGACATTTACAATGTACATTCACACACAAACAGATGGAGCATTACTGGGAGACAGGCTCACTGTTCCTCAGGCTGTGACAGGAGATCACGTACTGGGCTGCCAGTTCAACTGAGTTCCCTCCTCCTCCAGTCATTCACCCAGAAGCATTAATTCATGAAACCAATAACGCGGTCAGTGAGCATCTGAGATCTGGGTTGGAATGAGCCCAGGGGACCCTGAGGTGGAGTAACGCTTCAGTGTTTGTGTGGGGCGAATGAAGCACAACTCACTGGGGCTGAACACACAAATTACAGTCACTGCAGTCTACGCACACACACACTGGCTCTCTGTTAGTACACTTCTGAGGCATTTTAAATCTATCCATCCATTTTCTAACCTTTTCTTCAAATCCAGGGGTGCAGGACTTTGGACTGTAGCACAACTCTCACAAATGGGGGGATTAACATACAGATAGTAAGTACCTCAATAATTGAACCCAGGGCACCAGCATTAAGAGGCAGTTTACTAACTGCTACTAACCGTGCCACCCTAGCTTAAAAACACAGTATAAAACCGCTCTATGAACCAGTCACGGCAGGGTTTAGATCGATGACTCAAAATGGACGTGTTCTCAAATTTAAAGACGCGGTCACAAGTTCGCAAGAAGTGTAAAGGAAGTTAAAAAGATACCATGCGCACACACACCCAAAGCCACACCTCTGCACCATCAGAATAACGGGACTCTCTCTCTCTCTCTCGGCGGGTAGCGGGGCGGAGGAGAAAGGAAGAGACGTCGTTCAGCCCTGCCTACTGCTGTAGCGTCGCCTATCCCGCCGTCACTCCGGCTCAGTCTGAGCCGTCTGGCAGGCGGCTGTGGGTGGGCAGGGCAGCGTCTCTCTCCGCAGCGCAGGGCGTGTTGCAGCAGCTCCGGCGGCTGAAGAGCGAAAGGCGTAACTTTGGGCTTTTCGAGTTTGTTTTTATATTTTTGAGGGCTTTCAGGCGAAAGCGGGGCATTTTTACGCACGGCCCATCATTTCATCCTGATAAAACCGACGCGCCCGCGGCGGCTCGTTTAGCTGTGAGACGGGCAGAGCGTGGCAGCGTCTGCGAGGTCGACGAGCTCTACTCGGAGCCGCTCAGATTTTTGACCTCAAAACTGGTTTGTTTTTATTCGCAGAAGTAGCCTACTTTGAGCTGACCTTTTTTCTTAACTTCAGTTTATTTTTCCGACTCTTTGGCTAAGTTTTTCCAGTTAAGTCTCCGGACCTTCACAGTCCGGGGCGCTGTACCGATACAAGCGGAACCAGCAGCGGCTCCGATCGGATCGGTTCGACCATGCGGACGGATTCAGGCTCTATCCCGATCCCGACCCCGGACGAGGTCCACGCCTTCGACCCGCCGGTCACCCCGGGGGCGGACGCCGTGTCGGTGCTGTGGTCCTTCGGGAAATGTCTGGGTGCCCTGATACCCGTCTACTTGGCGGGCTACTTCGGGTTCAGCATCATGATGGTGGTGTTCGGGCTGATGGTGTACACGGGCTGGAAGCTGACCAGGGAGGGCAAGGAGACCAGGCTGCGCTCCGCCATGTACCTGCTGGAGAACGAGGAGGAGATCACGGCCACCCGGGTCCTGCGGACCAAGAGAGAAATGCCAGCCTGGGTGAGCGAAGCGGTTGTTCCTTCCTGCGTGCTGCTCCGTACCTCCGTCAACCTCAGACACACACAGCTGCTTATCACACGCACACAGCTCAGACCCAGACGCCTAGAGGATTCACTACTGTGCCAACACACATGGTAAATTTACCCTTACTGTATACAGATGCAAGGCGCAGTATAAACCCCATGCCTTCTTTCTGTGATTGTCCTTCACGCACAAGCTGTACTCCACTGCGGCACTGCTGCCGGTTCCGTTCCAGTCCCTCGTAGTTACGTCATCGGGTCTCCAGTTACTGCGTCGCTGCGGAGCGTGCCAGATGTGTGTATACAGAGAGACACGTGCGAGCTTTCTGCTCAACGTCAGAACGCAGTTTTGCGTTTTGCCCTGTCACTGGAAAGTTGTTTATTTTTAAAAAAAAGGTCTCACACTGCAGGAGAGGAAGAGACTTTGTCTGCAGCGCTGTCCACTCATGCTAGCATTTTGAGCACTTATAGCCACACTGACCCACACTGCTGT